AGTGCAGACAGCAGTTATCAGTGTATTTAATGATGTTGATGGTGGTGGTGACGACTACTGCTCGTTCATTTTTGGCCATTTTTTCTTTCTTTTTTTTTCCATCTGTCTGTTCTTTTAAAGGCCTTATTGGTCCAGAATGGCTTGAAGCAGAGAGAAGAGACCTCTTCGCCAAATCGTTCTCATATCAGAGCACACGTTCACGTTCAGTACCACGAACCAGAAGACGTCACTTCCTTTCTCTCACTTTTACGTTGATGCTCCAGTTTGTCAAAGCCGAAGAAAGAAAAACCACACACACACGGGGGTTAGAGAAAGGGCGCTATGGGGACAATGCCAGGTCCCGTCAGCTGGTTGTTCCTAACTTAACACTTTTCTTTTCTTTCTCTCACAATGACACACTGTCGTTTTTATTATTTTACTTTCAGTTTTTAATACGTCAGATTTTTCTTTAAAAAGTTGATCATTGTATTAAGGTGCTGGGTATTGGATTCTAATTATTATTCTGGCTGTTGCTGTTATATTATCTCTTTCAGGGTTGATTTTATTTTACATTATTTTTTGTTTTACATTGCTGTAATTTACATTGATTTTAAATGTGTTTTGAGCAAACTGTAACTGTAGTGGTGGGTTTGGGGGTTGGTAGGGGTGATCAACTCCTGAAAAATGTATTATTTGTTTGTTTTTTTTTGTGCAAAGATGAAATGATGAAAAATTACAATGATAGTAATAAAAACAATGATATAATAATAGTCTGCCTCTGAAATCCATTATGCAAAACAACAAGGTAAATGTGTTAAGAGAGATGATCATATGATCTTACAAGATGCTATCAGCAGCTCTGTAGTCTCACAATGAGGTCCATTTAGTAGCTGAAGCTCTGATTCATATCACATGATCGTCCTCAGATGTTTCAGGGAGTTACTGATATTAAAATTTCCATTTTTTAAAAACACTTTAGCACATGCTATCCATACTGGCATCAGATTTGTGATTGAGTGCAGGCCTGAAGCTTAGCAGAGAATCAGTGCTTTGCTTCTGCAGGGTCAAGGGCAGTCAGCTGCAATTTTCTTGTTTACAACACCTCCATTCTGCCAACGAGTCCGAACAAATCAGGGTTTCCTCACAGGCTCAGTTTGTTTAGAGAGATACAGGTAAATATTTTGTTTTAAATGTCACTCCAGTGTAGCATTAATTGTGGAAATACAAATAAAAAAACATCTTAAAGGGACAGTTCATCCCAAAACTAAGAAAAACATATTTTTACTCCTACTGTGTGGTGCTGTTTATCAGTCTAGATTGTTTTGGTGTGAGTTGCTGAGTGTTGGAGATATCGGCCGTAGAGATGTCTGCCTTCTAATATGATGGAACTAGATGGCACTCAGCTTGTGGTGTTCAAAGCACCAAAATGACCAGGTTACTTAAGATTATCCACAGACCTTGTCAACAGTTTCATGTAGGAACTATTTCTTTCTTCCGAATTACACTTGCCAACTGTATCACTGTGCAGACGGAAGCACACATCCACTCGTGACAGCGTGAGATGTAAACATCAACACCTCATTTCCATACAGTTTTGTCTCTGAATTTCTGTGTATGCCCCCAGTGTTCAAGGCATGAAAATGCAACTTATCATGGATGGATAGAAGCACCACTGCAGAAATGGCAGAATAGTAGGGTGCCCAGTAGATCACCTGGTGGAGCAGGTGCCCCATGTACAAAGGTCATGATGCTACAGCAGCAGCTGTAAGGCTCAGTACCAATCTGTCGCCCTTTGATGCACGTCGTCCCCACTCTCTCCTTCTTCGCACTCATTCTGTCCTATCTAATAAAGGCAAAAAGCCATAAAAATAATCTTTAAAAAAGCGAAAGGGCAGAATAGTTAATTGTGAGTTTTTCGCCGTCCAATCTTGTGGGATTTGTATGGAGCAGATCAAAGAGATAAAAACAGGACCAATTATGGATAGTGACAAAAAAAAGCGAAGAGGTTGTTCTGTCAGCTGTGTAGCCAGTTCTGAGAAATATTTTAAGACATATGATCCACTCTGCATTGACTCTATCAGCTAGTCAAGCTTTTCACGTTAAAAAAAGATGTATAAAGAGAGCTGTTTAATATTCATTAATCTGTTAGCTAATTTGTTTTCTTGTTAACTTCCTGTGGCACAGTGCATATGGTTTGTCTGAGGTCTGTGGCAATTTATTCATTTATTTATTTATCTTTAAGGTGCTCAAGGTATATTCCAGTCTGAAAAAAAAATACAAGGAGGATGACTGAGGTTCCCATAGGAATTAATGGAGTTCTGGTAGAATCACATACGAACACACAGCTATATGGAAACGAGGCGTAAAGGTGTCCTCAGCTGAGCTGTAACGTTAACTAACTCAGTGGTGCTAGGTGAGCTAGCAGTAGATGCACGCTTCCCTCTGCACTGATATGGTTCGTGGTTGTAGTTTAGTAGAAAGAAAATAGTTCCTACATGAAACTGCTCACAACAAGGTCTTCAGTAACATCATGATGTATACTCATGATGTCTGGAAAGAGACATTGCTGTTGTGTTTATCTAATGTATTTTTTGGTGCTCTGAACACCACAAGCTGAGTGCCATCTAGTTTCATTATACTGGAGAGAAGGCAGACATCTCTATGGCTTATACCTCCAACACTCTGCAACTCACACCGAAACAATCCACACTGATAAACCACGCTACAGGTAAGAGGAAAAATATATATTATTGATTTGCAAGTGAACTGTCCCTTTAAGTATCATCTTAACATCCTTAAAAAAAAGCGGAATAGCTGAAACAAATTATTTGCTGCCATGTGCAGTTAATATTCAACACAATATTTTTATCAGAGCCCAGGGGCTGTATAAATGACAGTTGGGTTTCAGATTCAGAAAATGAAGATGAAAACATGCTGCTATTTGAAATCCTTGGTGTGTGTGTGAGATACAAATGGTGCTCCACATCGGCAGAAGGGGGTGTTAACTGACTGTTTCCTGTGCAGGTGTGTAAGTGTGTGCAAATTACAATTGGGTCACTTTCAGGTGTGCAAGAAGTCTTCCTGATGATCAAAGGACTGTTGCACCAATTATATGTATCCAGGTAGGTATGTATGTTTTTCTATATATATATTTTTTCAGACTCTCTGACAGCAGTTTCTGTGTGGGATAATTGTACAGCATACAGGCTGTGTGACTGTCAGCAGTAATGACACTTAACAACCATGGCCGGGTAGGCCGTCTTCACAATGGACATTTTGAGTTGTCATAGTAGGAAAAGCACAGGTGAACTTGATAACATTAACGGTGGCTCAGTTCAGTCAAGTGTCCCAGTGAGTCAGTTTGCACAACACCAGGGCCTACCCTAAGTGGAATGCAGCCATTATCAATGTTATTGAACACACCTGTGTTTTCCTACTACAGCAGGTCAAAATGTCTGCTGTGTGAAAGGTCTGTTCACCTCTTTGACGAGTGCCTCAGATCAGAAACTGAAGGTGTGAGGACTGAAACGCACCCCCACCTAGGGGTGCTTTTGCATTTTGTATGTACCCTGACCCCTAGACTGGGAGGTCACCAAGGAGGAAGTGGGTGTTCTCTCCTATGTATTCCAGTGGCTTTTTACCTGATAGGTGGGTATGCTGTAAACAGCCATAAATAGAGGTGCGTACACCCTCCACTACACCACTCCCATCACCTCCGAGCTCCCAGTGGACACAGAACTTCATAATTCAAGTACAATACAAACTAAAATAATAAAGGTAGATTCTGGTGTCCCTCTAGAAGAGCGAGCCACAAAATTAGCCACCATGTTTTTACTTTTGTCATGCAAATTAACAAATTTGCAATTCATGTTATTACCAAAACTGTGATGTTTTGAGGCCCTGGGCAGTTGCCCACTTTGTTATGTAAAAACACTGCAGACATGTCTGACAGGGTTCTTTATGTGGGATTACATGTATCTGTTGGTAGACAGTTTGAGTAGAAATCGTTTCAGAGTGGTACAACACTGTGGTAGTTAGTTTCCTGCTGCCGTGTTTATACAGCTGCTGACAGATGCATGGCATATCTTGCAAGTGGTGTTATTGTTGGTGCCACCGTCACATAAAACAGATCGCTTTCCATTTTCCTAAAAGCCTGGCAACTACCAGTTTCCACTGTTACTTTGGTTGTTTTGTCAGTTTCACTTTTCACTGATACTCTGAGGCCGTTTCAGCTTTCAATGAAAATGTATTCAACTTTCCACCCTTCCTGAAACACCTCGCTGTCAATTTTACACTTCTTTGCTGTGGTCATGTCTGCCACCTTGCAGGAGACGTCTGCTGTTAGGTAATTGTTTCGTTTGTTTGTTTACCATCTGTTTATGAAAACACATTAGTTACGCCTGGTTCCTTCTTGATGCATGTCTGCAAACTGTATAATAGTCCTGCCATTGTGAGGCGAAGGGAAAAAATGTAGTGATCTTGCACGATAAACCAATATTGTGTGGTGGGCCTCATTTAGTATATTTTGAAAGTCAAGCCGAGAGGCTGGATTTTGGACATACCTGATCTTAGGTAACTGGGGATAGCTTTCCATATCTGCCAGGAAAAATAAAAGTACTCTTCTTCCTGTGTTCGTTGCACAATGTTTCAGTTTCTTTTGAAACTTGTCTGTTTCCACTTTAAACTGATGAAGACTGGCATAATGAGAAGGCATTTTAATGATGACTTGCTGTTATAATGATTTCATCCTCAGCAGCCATGTATACAGGTAAAACCCGACACAGCTTGTGTCCCCAGCCCTGCTCAGGAATGTGGGAGCTGCAGGTGGCCGAACCTGTTGGGAGTCAACAGATGGTGTTTTGACAAGACTTGGCATTTGAAAACAGAATGATGTGCACATGAGGTGTTTTTTCTTCATTCTGCTGAGTAAAAATCCCAATGTATTAAGATCCAGACCCTAAAATCACAGATGACATAAATACCGTGTGTGTATGTGTGGATAAATCGCTTTAACGCTGTGCTATTTGGTCATTTCTTTATTCTAAAAAAAAAATTCTCAAACACAAACAGTTCAGTTTCCACAATGTAAACAACTTCTCACATACAGTACACACAAGCAGTTTTGGGAGGAACAACTGTAAGAAAAACAAGTCCAAGCAAAGTCAAAAGGCAAGCCACTTTAAAGCCAAACGTAGTGATGGGCCGCTTTGATTCCTGCTCAGTGCCGCGTTGAACTGAAGGCCTGAATTAGTGGAGAAGCACTGAACAGATTAGAGAAAGGTTTACACGACTCGAGATCCCAGATCTGCTTGAAACGGCAGTGATACACAGGCAACTAGACTATGAAGAGAGGAAAGATTCTGTATGGCAGACGACGTTCAAAAGAAATCACAAATACGCACAGCGGAACATCATTCAGTCATTTGTTCATGAGGGTGCCGATATCACCCCGAGCCCTGAACATAAGCAGTCATTTAACTAGAGGCAGAAAGCTGTATGGTGGCTGAGTGAAAAGCAGCATATCCTGAAAGTACACTGGCTGAATGAATCAACTTTTCAGATTGACTTTGACCTCTCTGACCTCCTTCTGTGCCTGGACAGGACTTTAACCTAACTCAGAGAATGCTGCCTTTACTAAACTCAGGGTTGTCTTCACTTTTGTTAACTCACTGTTGAAATTACTCTGACATGCTGGGTAACAAAACACTGACCTTGAATCCTCTTCCCCGACCTGTGCTAGTTTGGCTCTCCTACAGAAGTGTTAAATGAATAGTACAACATTTTGGTAAATATTCACTTTCTTGCAGAGAGATAACTACCACTCTCAATATGAAGCTACCGCTAACAGCTGGCTAACTTAGCTTAGCATAAAGACAGGAAACACAGAGAAACAGCTAGCCTGGCTCTGTCCAAAGGTAACAAAGTCCACCTACAAGCACATCTAACCGTCACTACTCCACATGCTGTATCTTGTTAAATCCATTTATAAACCAAAGTGTTAAAATGACAAATCAGGGTTTTACAGGAGGTTAAGTGCCGGACTACTTCTTGGTCGCAACCAGCTGCTCAGCAACCAACAGAGGCTCCAGGAAGTAAATGGTTCCTGCCAGGAAAATGTCCAAAATAAACAAAAAACGGAAATTAAGATATAATAATTAGTGCGTTTTAGCTAGTAGAAGGATTTTGTCATCTTCAGAAAGAGCCAGTCATGCTTTTATCCTGTTACCAGTCTTTGTGCTAAGCTAAGTTAGCCAGCTGCTAGTGGTGGCTTCACATGAGCCACACAGACACGAGTGGTATCAATCTTCTCGCCTAACTCTAAGCAAGGAAGCAAATACGCCCAACATGCTGAATTATTTCTCAAAAACAACTTTTGTTTTTCTACTTTTCCTTTGTCTAACCTGCAGGAGGCAAACCACTTCACAATGAGCTTTTCAAGCAATAGCAGACTTTGGCAGAATATTCTATTTTTCAGTGTATCTGTAGGAGGTCAGGAAAGGTAAGGTGTCCCCTTCACTCTGTAAACCTGCTTTAAAAATCTGCCCCCTACGCAGATTTTCCACAGAGGCTGATGTTTTGTTCAGCTGCTCTTCACAGCGCCCGGTGTTAGCGGTTGACGACTAAAAACTTTCCTCCAAAGTAACGAGACAGTAAGCAGTGGGACTTCAACACTGAGCCAATGAGAAACAAGCTGTGGCTTCTTGAAATGTGAGACAAAGTCAAAGTCACATGTGTTTGAAGGCTCTCTTTCTCCTCAGTGCTCATCAATAATCATCATCATCATAATAAAGTATACACTATCTAATCTACTTACAATAACTAACTGCCTACCTAGGGCAGTAAAAGTCTAGTCAAAAAAGGGAAAACATCACTCCAGTTAATACTAGTCATACATGGCTATGAGATAAGAGGGAGACACGTGATCTCTCGCTCTTCTTTTTTTCCATTTTTGAACCAACAGCTTCAACTATTCAAAGCCATAATGGTAAACTCATAGCACAGCTTCGAGTACAAAGCCTGGTTTCTTTGCAAAAGTACCTTCTTCGCTCCTCTGAGGATTTTAAACTAAAGCTGTGTAGGAAAAGGCCTGCTTCTTCACATTGTTTCCTTCCATCTGAATGACTTTCTAATCTACATGACCTCTCAGGAGGAGCAGGTTTGGCTCACGTGTGGGAAACTCTTCTCTGTCGCCCTCGCCTTTTCATTATTTGATTTTCCTGAAGGTTGTTTGGATGACTTGATACCTGCTCAGTGGAACCTACAGTGTAGATATATATATATATATATATGTATAGTATGTGTGTGTGTGTGTGTGTGTGTTCAACCACACTCCTCCACAATCCAGATGTTCAGCAGTTGCCATGGAAACGAGCAGGTGGGTTTCACTCTCTGTGGTCACGGCTTTCTTCAACAGCTTGACAATCCAGTGTCTCTTTATGTGTTGTTCAGAGAGGTGTGTGTGTGCAGGTAGTGTTTGTTTTGAGTTCCTAGCTTGTTTGTTGTGTGTGTGTGTGTGTGTGTGTGTGTGTGTGTGTGTGTGTGCTAGTGAACAATGGTCTGGAGGTAGGTGTTTGTTAGTACAGTAAAGGGGCTTCAGGCCACTGCCTCACTAAGTGGACCTGCGGGGGGCCGGGGTCCTTTCACTCTTTCTGCATTTTAAGAGCTGTGATGTCACCTTTGGGACCTTAGCGTGTGCAGTGGATCATGTGGTCATGTGGTGTGTGATGGTCCCAGGAACAAAGACTAGGAGTGACAGAGTTACAGGGTGAAGGAATTTTCTCTGAGGAGAAAGCGTTGTGTTTGTATGTTTGTCTGCATGCTAATTTCTGTGTGTGTGTGTTTCTGTGTGTGTTTCTATTCCTACTGTTATATATTTGTGTGTGTGTGTGTGTATCAGTGCAAGTTGGGCTGCTCCACTTTGAGCCCAACCAGCGACGGAGGCATCTGCCCTGCAGCAGAAGAGGAGCTGGGAGGTGAAGCCCTGAGGCTGGAGCTCCCGGTGGAGGAGGATGAGGTGGTCACCGCGGGCCGGATGAGCGGAGGCGGAGGGTGGTTGTGGGGCGCTCGGTTCTGGAGCGGGCGCGTCTGCAGAGGAGGAGGCTGACGGAGGAGGCTAGGGGGAGCTGAGGGAGGTGCAGGGCGCAGCAGCGGAGGAGGCTGGGACAGAGAGGAGGGGGTCTGGGTGGAGGAGGGGGGAGAGGAGCCACCGGCGACGTCCGAGGGAGAGTCTTCCATTTTGACCTGAGGGGAGGGAGGAGGCACAGAAGGAGGTGAGAAGGTGGAGGGCAAACAGTCAAAACAACAACAGATGATGAGGTGAGATAAGATAAGAAGAAAGACAGTTGTGAGGAAACAAAGAGAAGAGAGGAGGTGGAGAGAGGAGGAGTTAAAGCCTCTGGAAACCCAAATCCAAATAGCCTTATAACTATGTAATTTAGGGTCTTATGTACATAATATTAAACATGTAAAACAATTAGAAATCTGTTTCCATTCAAATTCGAAATAACTGTCTTTTAAATTCTTGAAATTGGGTTTGATTTGGCCATGGTTATCTCTGAGATGTATTACGCAATAAATTCCAAACCAATCATAAATCGTCAGTCAGTTGTCTAATCCTGCCCCCCAGTGGCAGCGCAACAAAACCTTTCTGCTTCAGCTAAATCTGCCTCTTTGAGTCTGAGCCAACTCCTCTTTCTAGTCTGATGTTTAGAAAATACAGATCGTAAACTGGCTGAACCGCTCGGCTGCGACCCAGCGGAGGCTCTGCCTCTGGCGGGCTCCCAGTAGCACTCTAATCAGGTTGACCGGCTCCAGAGCCCGGACAATCCGAGTCTTTGCAGCTCGTGGAGCTGCAGGAAGAGGCGGCTTGTGAGTGGCCGGGCTTGCCCCCCGGGCCCGGTGCCCGTGTCGACTCGCGGGGAGGGGATGTAATGTGCACCCTTCCTCACCCCTAACCCCAACCCCAAGCAGTTAGCTTTGCTATGCATAAACATATCCCCAATCGCGGAGGTGATGCTGCGGGAAACAACACAATTTTAGCCGGAGGGGAACATTATTCGAGGTGGGCAAATACTTCTATATAACGCCAGAGAGACGGCCGGCCGGCACCGGTCTCTCCCGCTTTGACGGTCGGTGTGTGTGTCAGAGTAAAGACATATTTAATCTATTAAGATTGGATGTGTTTGAATGAAAAAGGCTATTATCAGAAAAACGGAGCAGATTTATGTTTTCAATGAAAACGTATCTCAATGAAGAAAGGCAAAACGCTAGCCTCCCGTTGTCATTCATATCAGCTAACGGCCGGGCTCAACCGGGCACTTCTGCAGCGCGAGTCCCGTAGCAGCTCGCCCCCCTGTTAATCAATTACAGCGGCTCCACCGGCAACGAGAGCGGTGCGATAACTCTATTTAAGCGGCTCTTCTATTGTTTGTCCGTGACACTGTGTCCGTGGCGGACATTTGAAAGCGAGTAGATGACAAACAGTACAGTAAACTTGTAGATAACTCAAATATATGTAATAATTTAGGTGGAAAATGCTTTAACATTTCATGCAGCCTACATGCAGCCTCTCGGCTCAGCAAACGGTAAACAACCCCGCTGGCTTCTCTACGTGTCGCTTTCGTACGCAGTCAGTGGAGCCCAAATGAATACGCCGCGACGCTACGTAACATTGCATGTAAAAGTTATGCTAACTATTCTACGAAGTAACATTAATATGAATCACAAAACATTTTGAAACTTACCATTCAGTGACCACCTGAAAGGAATCATTTTCAGCTTCTGCTTCATCCTCTGAATCATCAGAGGGCTCAAACATGTACGGCTGGATTAAATTTGTGGCAGCCATTGCTGAGCCAGGTAGATGTCAATCAAACCGAGGGAGCTGTCAATCAGAGCGTTATCTGCCACGCCCACTCTGTCCTGGCAAGTGGTCTGAACAGCAAAATGAGCTCTTTTTAAACCAGGTTTTCTAATAGTTATTAATGGTTATTTTCACTCAGACTTTTGTGGATGATTAATGAGACACTCGACTTTGATATAATATATGCATTTTTACTATTTCAAGCTGTGTTTCCACAGGCTTTAAAGGAAAAAGTGAACAGAGACAGATGTCATGTTAGCGTTATTATGACGAGGACACACATTCAGCTCACAACACAGGAGGGAACTTAATATTACAACCACCTGCTCCTTCTGTTCAGTATACTTAGGAGCCATGATGGTTGAATTTCACCAATAAAATCCACTTCAGTCATCAAGAGCACCAGCAAGCACTTTGAGATCTGAGGAAGATCCTTTTTCTTTAAGCAGAAACACCCCCAAAATGGCTAAATTAAGTGTTTTTGTGATGATAACAATACTGTTTACCCTTTAAGATGGCGTCCCTGTTAATTACACTGATGCACGCTTTTCTCCTGTAAGTACACTAAGATCAAATCTGCTACTAAAACCATGTTGTGAAGTTCAAGCATTCATTTCTCCTCCTACAAGTTGCACAACTTTTCCAGTATACCAAGCTTTAATTTTTACTCTTAATGGATTTTATCCTTTAAATGTAGAATATGCAATGAAGGTTTACAAGGTAAATACGAATGACTATTAACAGAACTTCAACCAGATGGTTGGTGGGCCAAAGACACATTTCACCACTTTATGATGGACAATGATTCATGACTGATTCACTGATATTCCATGGAATTTTTAAAATAGCATTTTAAAAAGTTAGATGAGAGGGTCATTATCACCATATAGTTTATGCTTTCATTTGGACTGACTTGTTGAGACGACTTCCTTGATTAAACTATTCAGTTCTGAGCCTTGCTTCGCAAGATTAGAAAAGTAAAAATAACTTAAGGTGTTCTTCATATCTTCTGTCACGGCTCACCTCATCCTCCTCGGCGGCTCCATCTGTAGCAGCTGCCATCTCCTCGCTGGTCCTCCTGGGGTCTCTCTGGTCTCGGCTGGTGGCCACCTGCTCGGCCGCCCACTCCCTCAGCACTTCGTCCAGGTTGAACCTGCGCCGGTAGCTCACGAAGAACGAGCTCACCTGAACAGATGGGCAGAGATGGAGAGTTAGAGAAGAAATGAAGGGCTGCAGAAAGACGTGCTGCCTTCAAGGACACAGAGGCGGAGACTGGAGGTCAGTAGACAAATGAAAGGAAGGATAATGGAGATTATGATTATGCTATAAAGAAAAATGCCTATCTAGACAGAGGGATGAGGAAGAAATTGGAGGGGAGATAAAAAGCTGATAGGCAGCTCACACAGAGTAAACTGCTGGATGGATGGAGGGTTAGACTGAGGTCAGAATAACAGAGAGGTGATCCTCACAAGATTTGAGAAAAAGGAGGCTCACCTGAGCGGGTGTCTTGGTCCCGATCACCTCAGCGATGGCTGAGAAATCTTTTCCATAACGACGGATAGCTGGGAAGGAGACAGAAGAAAAACGCCAAGTCAATGTCTATACATCACTCATAACCAATTTGCTTCCATCAAAAGGCTACAAAAGCAGCCTGCTTTCTTTATCTCTGTCACAGAGACACAGCAGTGTGTATGAGAGGAGAGACAGGAAGAGTGAACGTAGTAAGAGCGGGCTTGTTGATGCGTGCATTTTCTGTTAACCTTCATCTGAGGTCGGCTGGCTAAGTGCACCTGCTCTTTTCCAGGCCTGTCCCGCTTTACTCTCGTATCATATACACACATTCATATCTGCTGCTTTCTCCTCTTACACAGCTGCAGCTGATGGGGGTTAAACACTGAGCTCAAAGGCACACTCACCAAAGCTGTTTAGTTACGACTATCGCAACAAAATGCTTCTAATTCCACATCAGTCGCTCAGAACTTAACACCAACATAGGCAGTTGGGTGCCATGGCATGCAGGGCTCTTTGGTCCTAACAACAAATAAATAACCTCATCAGCCATGAATCCTCCTCTGATTAATGACACTCATTGAACGCCCCTGTATGAGTCAACTGTGTCTCTTTAATTGAAAAATTGATGTGGACAATGATTTGGAAGTGGCAGCTTAACTTAACTTTAATTTACTTCAATCACAGCTGGGATCAGTAACCCAGTAGCTCCTTTTTATTTTAGTTGCATTAATTTATAAATGGCAGTACAACAAGAAGATGTACATGTAAACACATCATGGCTGTAAATGTGTTTTTTCCCCACTTTTTCACTTTTTACTGACCACTGTACAAGTTATTCTATCTCTTAGCAGTTAGCAAAGAACAACCAAGATTAAAGTTCACTGTCATGAAAAATGACCCTGCTTTATCTAAGCTTTCTTTAACACTACCCAACTCCACTCCTGTTTCCAGGATAATTAAAAATGCTCACTTGCACTTCAGGTCATAAATGGTTGTCTTTGTCTGCTGTCATTTTCTTGCAAGTTCCCTGCTGGTACTGCGCATATGCATTTCTCAACAAAGATAAGAAAAAAATGGGATGGCTCACTCCTTAGCTATTTCCATCATCAGCTCCAGAAAAAAACTGTGCGTTTCTTTTTTTTTTTACTACTTGCCCAATCGAGCAAGTGGGTTTTTAGATTTACTAGCCTAACGTGGAATTTTACTAGCTCAGGCAATCCTTATTTTTGAGGCCTGAATAGTGTCAGGTGATTAAATAAAAGACTGCTAGTTTGTCCTTGAGTATGTGACTGTCTTTGTACACTAATCTATGTTCTATTAATGCATAATTTGAGCCTACTACAGAGAATATAACAATTTAAATAACACAAAAAATAGCTATTATACTACACCGTGAATAACAAATGATTTCAGAAGCACCCCATTCCATTACAGAAACACCCCATTCCATTACAGCAATACAGCTCAACCTAAGCAGAGGGTAACGTAAACATGCAAATGATCTTTTTCTGGCCACTTCAGGTTAAGCAGATTTAAAATAACACACTTGTCCACAAAGACCTATTTGGTCATATTTCAGAGGAGATATCTCCCTCACTGCATGTGTCAGTGCTGTGCTTCTACAGTGGTGACGCAGGCAGTTTTTGTGTGTGAAAATATGAATATGAATGTGTTTGACTTCTGCCTGTGAAGGTGAGGTAGGGAGAGGAGCACTGGCAACCTGAGGTGACTGTGTAAGAGGGGAGGAAGAAGATGCTGCAACCTTAACTCACCCTGCACAGCCAGGAGCTGCTCCTCTGTGGTCCAACGAGAGTTCATCTTAGGGGCAGGCTGAGAGAAACAGTGAGAGAAGGGGGACAGATTAGAGAATGAGGGAGGTAGGCAGTAAGAAAGAAGAGAGGATAGAGGGGTGAAAATGATGGCAAAAAAGGAAAGGGCAGATTAAGACTAATCTCAGTCCCACAAGGGGCGAAATACTATCTGGAGGGAGTTGGGGAAGAGCAGGGTGAATAAATCAGAGAGGAGAGGGACGAACTGAAGAGAGATCAGAGATGAAGAAAAAGTCAATTGAGTGAGGAAATAAAAATCAAAGAGGGGATAGATTAAAGCTCTGATCAGGCCCAAAAAAGCCAGGCCTGACTCAACATGAACCCGCACAGTTTCTGTCCTCTGACCTGAGCCCAACCCATGGCAGCAGTTTTAGATCTGAATCGATTTAAAAAAATGAATTTCTTAAAAATCTTAATTATTCTATTTTCTTATATTAAAACTCCTATTACAAGCTAAGGGTTGACGTGTGTCCTCACACCATTTCTCCTTCTTCTCTTTCTTATTTTAATAGTCTGTTGTCTCATGCACAACAGGTGCGGCAGACTGCACCCCTCGGTGCATCTAGTTCACATGGTGGTCCATGGCGATGCGGCATGCCAATGATGATCACAGCTCTTCCCTGTATGTTAAGCGCATCTCCCACTGCCGGGGAACCAGGGGCAAACACTGCCAACCGTCCCTCTCTCTGCATTCATTCTCTCTCTCTTTCCCCTGGTTCTTCACCATTGCTCAGTTGTTCTGTTGCCTTCCCTCTCTTAGTCTCTTTCTCTCTTGATTCAGTCCATTAAAACTGTCATTTACGCATGAGAACTGTCAATTTTATAAATTAATTAGAAATCACAGCCCGGCCTGAACCCAGCAGGTCAGGCTGCGCCCAGAGAATCAGACCTCTAAGACAGATGAAGGATGTAAAGGAGAGGAAAAAAAGAGAGCTGTACAAAAAAAAAAGGACTTACCTCAGCAGGTTTGAAAGATTCAACGCCTTCATTTAAGCCCTGTTTCAAACTACTGTTGTTCTGTTTGATAGACTGAACCTGAAAGAAAATGCGTAGAGGAAGACAGAATGGACAGCGGAGTTAGTTTATGTTCGGGTTAGCTGCACTGATGCAATCAAACAAAAATCTGTTGCACCAAACTGCATACACAAAGAAGCTTCTGTTGCTTTAAACATGCAGCTGCAGTTTAAAATTGTGAACGGTAATTGTGTACTGTCAGGTTTTCTTGGAGCAATTCTATATTTTTTATTGTTGGGACCTGCTTGTGAAATATTCATACTAACAATAATAAACAAAGCAACCCCTCGCTGAGACTGAATTCATTATGTTTGTCACATAAAAAGGCGACAATTTATTAATATACTGTTGGACCATAAAGCTCTGGAGGAGGTGTTAAAATTTCACCATTTCTGGCAGATACATAGATCATATCCTGTTGTTCTATAGAACTACCTCTCCAAGTAGATTTCAGATCCTCAGTATATTTCAAGTGCATTTAGACCTTTACTTACTCATACATACCTGTCTCTTGAGTGACACCAACTGTGTGTCCAGCTGTCGTATAGTTACCACCCCGGCATCATGGGAGGCTGACACTGACATGATGTCTGCCTGCTCCAAGTGCATGCCTTTGGGTGGCCTGCGGCGGGCTCTGAGTGGGTGGTGGCGGTACTGAGCCCCGATATTTTCCTTCTTCACCGGCCCAGAGCGACTGGGGGTTGCCTTGTCAGGGTTGGCATTGTTTGGGTTCTGTTTCACTGCCTGCGTTGGCAAAAAAAGTCACACAAATATTAGAAACTTCTATTAGAATGACAGCTTTTGTACAAAAGCTGCGATTCAAGAATGCAGCATTACATTTATGTATAATAAATGAAGCTGAAATTGAAGAATAGAGTAGCATCGATTTGGCTGGGCTGATCTCCTCAGGCAAGTCATGACTAATAAAACACCAAAAATGTGTTTGTATAAGAATGCACACACACACTCTCTGTCAGTCAAACAGCCACTATGAAGTTTTATATTACTCACCTCTTTCTTGGTGTCAATCTCAAAGTCGCTGTCACTGCCAGGGTCTCCTTCCTCAATCTCATCGTTACTACAGGAAAGAAAAAACAGTAACTAAACACACCCATGATTAAGTTTTATCTCCTGCCATTTGTAAAAATTAAAACTATGTGTGATTTCATAAAAAATATTTCTAAAGCGCTCAAAAATGTCAACTGAAAATGACACAAAATAATATCAGAGTGTCTCACTTATATTCATGATGAGAATCTTGTTTCCCAGGATGACATGCTTATCGAGTGTCATTTAACAACGGAGCTTTGTAAATGTCACTTCTCAGAGGAGTACTTTCTGACAACTTAAGGTTTCCTCCTTGCTCAGTGCTTCCTTCAATATTCATTCTGTCTGTCCCTCCACCCGTCTCACTCCCTTCGGGGGATCATTAAAGTTTCATGGTATCTCATACCTGTCATCTTTCTCTCTCTTGCTGACCAGCCTCCTGGCCTGTCGGTCCATGACAGAGGTCCTGGTCCTGGTCTTCTTCCAGCTGTAGTAGTACTTCACCAGGCTGGAGATCAGCTTGTCTGGAAGCTACACACAAACATAGGAATCAATAAATTGAGTAATAAATACTGAAAATGTTTTTGAAAATTATTCTGTTAAAAAATATTTGGTGAGTGTGTGTGTATTCCCCCCCCCCCGAGTCTCTCACCATCTGCTGGATGCGGTGGAAGCTCTTTCCGTGGAAGCTGAAGGCCTGCTCAAACAGCACTTTATCCTCCACTGTCCACTCATCTGGGAAGGGGGTGAAGTTTGCCAGGTCGGCAAGCGAGCGCTCTACGTCGTGCTTGTGCCATAACAACATGCCCAGAGCCTGAAACAACAGAGGGGAAGAAGACAGTGTCAGGCAAGCAGGGACAGTGATAAGTCAGAAGAAACAAGGAGTAAAAAGATAAAGATATTTTATGTCACACATTCTGATGAGTGAAAAAGAAGTTATCCTTTGCTATACGTATATTTACAGTCTGCCATACCTGCTCCATGTTGTATCCGTGTTTCTCTTTAGCCATCAGGATGTACTCATCCACTGCGATGAGAGAGAGAAAAGTGGGTTCAAAAAGGAGGCAACATTAAAAAAAGGAGAGAGAGAAAGATGAATACAAGGACATATAATGAAATTCGGGAAAAAGATGAAGACAAAGAGGGCAGGAGAGTGAAAGAAAACAAGTGCAAAGTAGAAACACAGAGAATCAAAGTTTTAATTGCTATGCTCTAGTCAGCATATAGCCATTAAACTGAAGGTCACAATGTTGAGCTTGCACCAGTGAATGTAAAGTGAGGTAGGTAGGTAGGTAGGTAGGTAGGTAGGTGTGTACATGTGTGTGTAGAGCTTACACATTGCATCAGAGAGCTGACTGTTGGGACACCAGACCAACATGCTCCTCTGGTCCTTCTCATTGTAGCGGGTTGGACTGTCTGGTAATGGAAACAGGCACATTAAGCATCCATGCATTATATGAGATTATACGTATACTGAATCCCTCTTTTACTCTCTCCCCCATCACCTAAGTTCTTTCATTTCCCAATTTTTCTCTCTCGTGTTCTTGACTGACTTGTCTACTTTACAGACTTAATATTAACTTTTACCATCTTCCTCCCTCTCCTTTGCACGTCTTCTCCTGTCTAGGCTCCATCTTTGGCTTCCTCTTTGTTAGAGAGAAAAAGGATAGGCATGTCAGCCGTTCTGGGAATTCAACACCTGCGCACTGCCAAAATCCAGATGTTAGATGAGAGACTGGTTTGCTGCCTCTCCCCTCATCTGGTGCAAACTGATGGTTGTGGGACGACTTCATCTAAGGTGATTGTTTTACCCTGGTTCAGCCACGTTACATCTACTGCTTATACACGGTGTCAGGGTGTTTCAAATAGCCTAATTTCAGAATCTTTACATCCGTTAATTCCTCCTGAAACTATACTAAAAAAAACAGGCTAAAACAAGCGTTATTCTGATTCAACATCAGCACAGACTGCTTTAGAACATCAGAAAAAACATTTGATGCCAATTTGCATTTACTTAAGCCTATATGATAGATAGAATAAAAGGTTTGAACATTGCAGAGTGACCCTTTTATTCATTATTGAAAGACTTGACACCCACCTCAAAAGAAACCTTTTGCTGCACAGTGTCATTGCTAATAATAATACTAATTATTTAACACTTGAAACTCCAACTTTACCTTACCATGTATGATTAATTTAAGGGCATCTGTATAAACCAGTCCAAGCTGTATGGAGAAGAATCATTCTTTTGTTAAACGTCACTTTTTTTTTTTTTTGCTTTTCCCATTCCCGACACATGCATGTTTCCCTTCATTTCCTGGCAAGAGGGGGAGACAGTAACTGCATATCTGACCTTCATTTCTCTCATCATCTGCATTTCCTTCTTTTCTCCATTTTAATGTCCTCCACATTCCTCCTCACCTCTACGTCTCCTTCTCAGTCCTGATTTCCCCCCTCACTCTCTATTCATCTTCCTTTTTAACTCATCTCTGTCATCTCCCTTTCTCTCAGGCTTTTTTTTTCCTTTCAGCTTACCTGGTTTGAACTCTGGGATCTGAGCCTGGTAGTCTCCTCCCACTCTGATCATACTGTCTGTAGAGAGAGACGAAGAGACGGAGAGAGAGAAGACGAACATGAGTTTTCTATTTCCTAGAAGGATGAGTAGAGCTGTAGAGTAGACAAGTATTCCCATATATTTCCCAAGAAGTTGCAGAACTGGACAGACTGGATTGGAAGAAGACAGGTAGCAGGAGGCACAGGCGGAGAGTCGTGTAAAACATTACCACAATTAAAACATTATGCATAACGTATTTATCATGATTTATGCTATTTCTGTGAAATTTCAATTGTTCTGTTCACAAAGTAAATAACTGAGAATTATAATTATCTTCCAATGGTCTACCCTCTAACAGGGTTCACTATTGATTTGTCCTATCAAGGCTTTGCATAACACTAGCAAAACCTGTTAAAGATCAGAGCATATATTCTTTTAGAACTGGAGGTATATCCAGGATTGTATTGTATTGTATCGTATCAGCTTTATCATTATCCAGTAGGAATGTCCTAATCCATTTTTTTTAACCCTGATCCCAATCTGACTCCAGTTATATTGTGTATTTGCCAATACTGAGTCCAATCCAATACTTAAATTTACCAAGTTATTGATTAAAAAACTGACATGTTGAAAAAATAGCTGCAGCCTACTGAATCTGAGCCAATTCAGTGCCCTTATCTTTGAGAAAAAACATCTATCTCTGAGTATGCCGAAGACACATCATAACAACTCAGGCAGACAACTGCATACAGTGGCTAAAAGCCTCTAACAAGTCTTGATGTTTTTTGTGAAACCAAGGACAGCCAAGAACCTGACTGTGACTGATTGGGCTGTTTGACTCAAGTTCTTGTTTGTCAGTGACGTGCTGCTTTGATTAATGACTGCTGACCGAACATATGATGTGATCAGTCAATGAATCGCCTGCCAAGCTTACACGTCTCATCTCACTATTAATGTATTTATACAAGATGATGGTTTAAACAATCACATCTACAATTAAATACATTGCCTTTGCTGTGTAAAGTAGTGCCACTGCTCATGCTCTCTGATGCTTAATAAGCTTTACATTTTCAAAAAAATGCTCTATAGTGGAGGCACTTTTTAGTTCAGCCGAGGTGAAGCACCTCCACTATAAAACACTGTGGGAAACCCTACGGATATGTAATTAGTTTGCAAAAGTGAAAAACAATCCTCAAGTTGTAAGCCTATGAGAAACACACAGGGAGGCTGCTTTTAATCAACAACTGAAATCACTGTGGTTCCGATGGTTTTAAAAGACTGCTGACTGTTTCAGTCCTCACTTGTTCCATTTACTTAATTGTTGTAAACATTTAGGTTTTCTGAACAGTTTTTTTCAACCAGGGTACCAACCATAGTTTTTAATCACAGCTTAGAAATTGTGTTTCATTTTCCAACACAATTGAATTTTAAGAGAAATAGCATAAATCATGATAAATACATTCATGCATGTATTTTTATAGTGGTAACATTTTCAGCATGTTCATGACTTAGGCTACCAAGTGACAGATATATAGATGGACACAGACAGGGGGAAGAGAGAAGGAAGTACGACAGCGGATGGCCGACATTAAGTAATTAGCGCTGTGGTAAAGAGGGTAGAAGGCGACAAGTGAAGAGAGACTATGAGAGAGGCAGGGATGCAGACCTGGAGGAGGAAGAGACAGATTATTGTTTCCTCCGGGAGAGAGGACAGGAAGGGAGGAGACTGGGATGATAGAAACTACAGAAGATGGTAAGAAAAGGGTGGATACAGGAAGGGGACGAGTAAAAAGGTCAGAGGATTGGATGGAAGGATGGAAAGAAGGGGCATAAAAGGAGGCAGGAAAGGAGGGGAAACTAAAAGATGGATAAAAACTGACTAGAAGACTTTAGAGTGGTGAAGGAGGTGGAGGCAAGGACATAAGTGGGGGTTGCGTTAATGTCAGGGATGGCGGCTTTGGATACAAAGCTTCAGACCTTTGTCAACAGGGGAATCTGGGTAGTAAAGTGCCTTTTGAATGCATCCTAACCATTCCTGTTAAACTGTTTGATCTAATATGACATCTTTGGTCTAAGTGCCTATTGAGATAATGGTTAAAAAATAAAAGATCATCAGCAAGTCAGTGGGTGAAAGAGAGAATGGAGGAAGAAAATGTGTATGTGGGCAGAGGATAACAAGGATGGAAGAGTGTGGGAAGGGGGTGGTGAAGAGATGGAGGGGAGGACAGAGGAGAGCAGTGTGCAGGGACTCAAGAAACACTGCAGCAATGTAATGAATGCAACTGGAACAGCTGGCATGATGTATCTGTACAATGGAAATGCATGTCTACTGTAGGTACTCTTTACACATGCAAACCCAGACACTAAGTAGCTACATCACCACCTAACTTAGCCAGAGAATTTAATTCAGATGAAGACAGTAGATTACACTTCAGAGTAATGTGTGTGTCTACCATGGGCATGCTCTTCATCGCTGCTCTCCTCTTCAGAGTGCGGCTGGCTGTTGCCGTTGGTTACAGTCTTGGCTCTGCTCCTGGACAGGACACCGGCCCCCGAGCGCTCCATCACTGAGGGCATGGCTGCAACAAACACGCAGACCCTAAATATAAAATTCCACCACTTACACGTCACCATTCATCAACAAAATACCGTTTCTGTCTCAAGTATGATTCAATCTCCCATAAAACTGTCACTTAAGTCTTTTTTCATTAGCAAGTTGGCTGCTGTTTATTTTCACTTGAAACCCTATAAAACCTAATTCACTCTTGTAAAGTAGAACGGCACCTTATGCTGCTCCCTTGGAAGCAATCCCATTATATTCCCTTGAGCTGAGTTTATTTTCCAAACACCGGTTTACTGTATGACAACTTATTCATACTCAACAACTCTCACCTATCTCTAATTATCACTCAGTAGCCATAACTTGGCATCGTTTTTATCATAATAACCTTACACTGCGATCAGTTCGGTGGGATATAAGGTGGGCTAAAACACATCTTTGACTAATTGCTAGATTAACTTCTGATCTTCTTCCACCAAGTAGTGACCTTAAGTGCACCTCAGCACTCAACACACCCACACACAAATTGATTAACTCAAGTATTTCTTTATTACTCCTGTTAATTAATAACACCATCTTAGGTCATGTGGGCACCACCCACAACACAACAGAGGACTACTTAGTGCTCCCAGCAAATGTTTAAGAAACACTAGTGCTCATGTAACACTGCCCTCTTTTACCCATTTAAAATCTGTATACTTCAGTATATTTCACTGCGTCATACTCACTGGAGTCTTTTTCATGTTAGGTAACAGGATGTCAGGGTTTAGTGTGACATTAAAAACCGCAGGCAGCTGTAACTATGTGAGTGTAAGTGCATGCAATTCATTTTATGAAGCTTTATTTAATGTGAATCCGCCACCTTATGGGTAATATCCAATCCACTTAACAAGGTCAGTAAAATGGCTGCAAGATCTGGCAGACTGGCCAGGTACATCACTGTCTTCATGTAGGTGAATAGATAAACTAAATATTTGTTAGTTTCAGCACTAAGAAACACTTTTCTGACATATCAAATTGTAGTATCTCTTTTAGCAGCTGTCCAAAACAATTCAGAGTGGCAGAGTAACCTAAATTGTTGATACTGAATAAATTACTGATGATTTTTTAGAAATGAAATGACTGATCTGCAACAATTTTGACAATTGAATTTGAATTATTTAAGCAAAAGATGACAAAAATCTCTTGTTCCAGCCTCTCAATGCAAATATTTGCTTTCTGTTTTATGACAACAGACTCAATATATTTGGATTTTTGACTACTGACCACCAACTTGGGCTGTATGTACATGATGATGGCCATTTTTCACATTTTTCCTGACATTTTGTTGACCATTTGATTAGTTGCGGAAACAATCAGAGTAATCAATTAATCATTAGTTGCATCCCTTAACATTTGTGTATGTTAAAAGTAGTAAAAACTGGAGTTGCTTTGCCCTGGCCTGACCTCATATCCTGGCAGTGCATATTCAATTTCACTATGGAGATGACAAAAATGTGATGCCCTATTTTTAGCCTGCAATATGAAACTTATACATCATAAAAATCAAGTCACAACCTCGAGCACACCATACACAACCCAATATACATGTGCCCCCTCCTACATGTTGAGGAAACCCACTACAACAGCACAACTGACAAGTGGCAGCATCTGACAAACAACGTGTTAAAAACGTGCCATGGATAGCACGAGAGCCCTCCTGCATGAGGGGGACTCTCATTTTAAGTGTCATCCACAGACAGGGCTATATCATTACGTGGCCAAGCCTCGTTTTCCCTCTGTATCTCTCTCTATCTATCTCCGGGCCAGCGAGTCTCACAGCAGCACAAAAGACTAGACGGTCAGCTCAGGACACCGCTCCGCACAGCAGAAAGTAACCCAGCAAAACTCCCTCCTCGTGCATAAACACAGTGCGATTACAAACGGCACACGACCACAAACAAATACCCAGTACCACTCACAGATCGCAGTACAAACACCAAGTGTGTACACAGAATCTTAAACGCTTACAGCTGCTTCTTTTTCCACCGATCACATCAGCAAGTTCAGCTCCTGTATCCTAACTTGAACTACGACCAGAACAAAGCACGGGCGCGGAGTTATATGACAGACGGGCGACATTAACTTGTCTAATCTCTCATCTTCCACATTAAACATGAGCAGTTATGCTGCTGGAGAGGGTGAGGGGCACTCTTTACAACCCGATCTACCAAACTCTGGTAGACAATACAAGTGTCTGAGGCTCTCTGGGGGTCTTTGTCTATACAGCAGCTCCCGGTGGCCCCCCAAGACTACAACAGCTGTCCCCTGCAACTTCACTGCAACTCACATCATCCAAACCTAGACACATCTCTTGTTTATTTATATCAATGGATTTAAGTTTGGGAAATCGCTGAGACGAAGATGTAGTCTGTAAGCCCGCCTCGGTTCACTTTCAGAGAGTTTCAGGGGGTTGTGGTAGCCTCGGACACTGCCACGATATAGCCTCGATCTCCGGCAGACAACTGGCATGAGCAATCAGAGCTAAAACTATAATACATAACTGCTAACCCGACTAGGCAGGGTCTATTTGTAGTAATAGGGATTGCTCAACCACCCGCTTGTGCTTAGTAATTCATTTTCACAACCTCTCACCACCACTGGGAACTTTTTGCTCCTCATAACTTTCAATATTTGGCAACCTGACATGATTATGTATTATGGTACACAAAGCCAATCCACACTGCACACTGCTTAACACTGTTGATCAAGTTTAGGATAAAGTCTTCAAAAAATATAGATCTAATTGGTCTATATGATAAATGTGTAGTCTGGTTCAGTTCTCACTGATGCATCATTTTTGACTCATACTGACAATAGCATGTCTAACGTGACTAATAATGTGCTCATGGATGTCAAGAGTTTAGATTGACCTTGTAGTGGTAGTGTATTTTAGCAAATGGAAAGCCATACTATTATTATAGCGACTTATTTTTAAGTATAATTCTATAATTTATCAAACATGTTTTTTCCTATAAAATGCTTGATTATTAAAATAAAACATGAGATGGTGCTTTATCCGAGCCACTATTGCTAGCTAAATCAATATTTCCATATCTTTCCTAAGCAGTCATCTGTGTTGTGTGTCAGACTTTGAAGTCCTTTTGTTTTACCCACGCTTACGTTGCTGTTACTACTACTGACGCTACTGTCTGCTGCTGGCACGGAGTAAAAACTCGCTCTCTGGATTATAATAACTCAAGTTGGCGGTTTCTTTCAGGACGTTTAGCTGCAAACGGCAGCAGTTTGAGTAATTTCTGGAAGCTGAGCGATAAATATCAGGCGACATTTCCCTCCTCTCCAAAGTGCATTCAGAAGTCAAACCTAGTTGTCCGTTGAGATGCTAACGTTAGCCAGTTAGCTTGCGGCTAGTACCCCCGCGTTACATTAGTAACGTTACTAGTTAGAAGTCGAGATAACAGTCACACTGTACCTGTGTGTCGCTTCTCTCCGCTTTCTCGCACTCAAAACTTCTCTGCGCCTCTGTCCTCGGTTTATAGTCCTCTTCGAAGCGCCGAGAGACAATTATTGCATCTAAAACGGCTTAATTCTTGCCTAATTGATGAGCACAGGCAGTACAATGAAGTGAACTGCATGGATAGATGGAAGCAGCCGTGAGTGTGAGTGTGTGCCGGGGGAGGCGGACAACACCCGGGGAAAAGTGAGGTGGACATCCGCCCCGATGCGTTCGCCTCTCCCAACCAACACAGCCGTTTGGATTGACAAAAAGTAGTCCTGTAAAACTATTAAGTATAGCTTACTCTTAATTTTTAATTTTGTTGCTAAACGTGTAATTTGGCACGTGGGGCTGATTTAATTACCACCACATCGTACTGAAAGGCTTTGGCAAAAACATCAGCTTTCAAACTGCATTTTTGCTGATTCACAATATGATTATCATCCACAGTTAATCTCGTTAAATTAAAGGGGAAAATACGTGTTGTAAAAACAGTTGCTGTTTGAGACTCTTAATCTGACATCTAACAAAATCCCATAAATTAGGGACTACTTGCCAGTGTGTCGGCGGAGGGATTCGTCAACTGTGCATCTCTGTGCTGAGGCAGGCTGTCCAGACTTGTACTGATGTATGCATGGTGGAGAAAAGGGCAGGAGAGGGGTACAATTGAACCTAGTGTGTGTGTGTGTGCGTGAGTGTGTGTGCGTGAGAGTGCGAGCGTGACTTTGTGCATGAATTGGCAATGACTCAGATACATAGCCTCAATGTGCTTTATTTATTTAATTTTATTTAAAATGTTGAACAATTCAAAGAGTTCTGCCATGTGCCTCCCTCTGTGTGTGTGTGTGTGTGTGTGTGTTTGTGTGTATGCATCAGTCTGGGTGCACAGGTGGATGAGTTTGTGTGAGTGTGTGTGAGTAGAATAGGGATTGTTTCAGTGATAGCTGCAGCAGGATTTCTCACACCTGATGCTGCCAATAAACACAATAACCCCCACAGTAACACACACACACAACCTACTGCTACCTTCACAAGTGCCTCTTGCTGACATGTAACAGCCTGTTACATACTCCTCCAGCTTTCTCTCTCTCTACTCCCTCTTTGGCATCACCACCTCCTCTTCTTTCCCCCCACCTCCTCTTCATCATCTCTCATTTTCCCACCTCATCTCCATCTCCTCCACAATTTCTCGTTTGTCAGCCCCCCTTTTTCTCTCCTGCTTCCTGCTCCCTTCTGCACCTCCTCTTTGTGTCTGCTTCTTCTCCCTATATTTAATCTCCCTCCATTTGCTCCTCTTTCTTCTCCTTCTCCAATACTTTCTCCCTCTCCCTTCCACCTCCTGAATATTTGCCCTAATTCTCCTCCCCCTCTTTCCTCTCTCTTCTCACTGTCTGTGCCCCCTGCCTGATTTTTTTTGTTTCTCCTCCTTCTTCCTCCTTTCTTTTCTCCCCCTGCCTCCCTCCTTTCTCACCACCCATGTCCTTTGCCTCCTCCACTTTCCTCCCCTCCTTAATATCTCTCCCCCTCCCTCCTCTGCTCCCCCTACTTTCTCTCTCCAGTGATTACTCCACGACTCTTTCCTGCCTCCCTCCTCCTCCTCATCTCCTTCCTCCTCCTCCTCCTCCTCCTCCTCTTCCTCCTTCCTGTCTCCCTCTCTTGCCGTCTTCCTCTCATGTCGCTTTCGATCTCAACAGTGTGTGTGCGTACGTGCAAATTCTTCCCCTCCCCCCATCCTCCCCCTACGGTGATACAGTAAAGCAGTTTCGCTCTGCTCACCTCCAGGCCCCCCCTCGTCTTCCTCTCCCTTCCTCTTCCTCATTCTCCAGTCTCATTTTCACCCCTGCCACCTCCTCCCCTCCTCTCCTCTCCCCTCGCCTCCTTCCCTCCTCTCCTCTCATTAGTCAGTGTCCATGAAACTCACCATTCCACTGTCTCTCCTCTTGCTCAGTCCTCCAGTCCCTAACACATCCTCACTAATGAACAACTGCTACATCTCTCCCCTCCCTCCCTCCCATCACCTCTCAGCTCTCCTTTCATCCTCCTCCTCCTCCTCCTCCTCTTCTCTCTGTCCTTCCCTCTCCTCCTCCTCTGTCCTCCTCTCCGTTCGTCACTCCGTCTCACTCTCTCTCTCTTTCTCCTTTCCCTCCTCTTCTCGCTTGGTTTCTCTTCGATCTCTCAGAACTGACTGTCCCTCCCACTCTCCCTTTAGCTCACTCTTGTTTCCACTTCTTTCCTCACCCCCCACCCACCTCCTCCCTTCTCTCTCCACCTGTCTCATCCCTCCTTCTTGCCTGTCTATCTGTCTGCTCTTCTCACTTTTTGTCTGTCTCCCTCCCTCCCTTCCCTGTTTCTCTCCACATGTCCACACAACTCTCCCATCCTTCCCTTACACCTCACCCGGACTCCCATCCCTCCCCCCCTCCGAATTCTCTGACTTTCCCTGTTATCTCAGGAGATGCATGATCTAGAATCAGATGTGATAGAATGAACTGTCCCTGCTGTATTCCTTAAGTACTTCCTGTCATAATAAGGCCATTGTGTATGTCTAAATGTTCTGTGCTGCAACACCTTGATGTAGGCACAAGTGAATGATGCCCTTTGCCACTGCCAACTCATTATCATACAATTTCCGTCATTTCATCATCACTAATGTAGCACTGTATGACACAAACGATGACTCATTATAGTCTGACACAAGCTTTTATGACGTAGATAGATCACAGTATGTTGACTCAAACTAAAATTATACAAGGACGTAAAAGATAATTTATCACTGAAATGTGGGGTGTACAAATGATTAGAAACTCCTCTAATGTCAAGGCCTAAAATTATCTCTAAGAGAATAATCATTATGATTTTTCCCTGATGCCCTTTTAAACCCATTCAGTTGTGGTTTATGCTGAGGTTTGGAGATGCTGGTTGTCCTCAGTGCTGTGCAATGGTGTGTAGTGCCTAAACTCAATATTATACATTATTTAGAGTCTGAAGTGTATTCACACTGGAAAAGTAAGAAATTGCAGGACACTTAGCAAATTCCATGACAATCTGCCTGTTAGATATAAAATATCTTGTGTGCAAAGTTGATATTTAGACCTGAGGGTGGCGCTTATGGATAGTTTGCAGTGTAAAAAAAATGGAAAGTGATCATCCTTTTGGGATCATGAATATCTACTGAAAACTGCATAACTATCCAGCCTTTAGTTTTCAGGATGTCACAGATGTAAAATATGTTGGTAAAGACCCAGCAGCAACCTCCATAGCTGAAAAAAGAAGCCAACATGGAAGTGATAAAAGCTGCAGTTCCTTGAATGGCCACTTGAGGCTGGCTCTGAGAATGAGTCAGTCCCCATAGATGTCTGTGTTAAAGCGACACTTACCTTTTTGGAAATGTTACACATTTCGTTGTTTAGGTTAAAATGCTATTAATAAGCTGATGGCACACTAAAATGTAAGTGAATTCCACCAGAGATAAAAACTCATAATTGTACCATTCTCATATGTGAAGAAAACTCCAACCAGTCACAACAGCCTAGCGTCTTGTCTGTCTTCCCCACATGGAGGCCTCCGACTGACTTAACCGCTCACGTAACTTACATTATATTATAAAACTCATCAGTCATCACTGACCCCAGATAAGTTTCAAAACTCCAGGGTTGCGTTTGACTGTGCAGGACAGGTAACGTTATGTTTAGTTATAACATATAACGTTATATGACAACACAGCATCCAGTTGCTAATGGCTAACGTTAGCCTACTGTAGCATAGCCTCTGAAACATTAACGTTATCTTCCTTGTGCATTTCCACTTACTAGTAACGTTAACACTACTATCTAACGTTAGCACTGCAACCTTATTCTAAAACTCATCAGTCATCACTGACTCCGGTTGAGTTTTAAAACTCCAGGGTTGCGTTTGACTGTTTGGTTGTAACGTTACAACTTGACAACTGTACGTCAGTTTATAAGATATCTAACAAATTAGCACCCCAAGAATGGCGTCGTCATGTTATATATTTAACGCAAAGTTGCTTCAGTTTAGAAAAATAAACTACAGTGACAAGGTGCTCTTAATTAACTCAAAGGTCATTTGGTTTCACATGGGACACAAACACCAGTCTCCCAGGGGAAAGTTCTGTTTGTTTGACCAACCCACCACCCCAATCTGCCCTTTGACAGCAATTCGTCACATGCATTGCAGCCTTCCCGATAACATGAATTATACACAAATTGTGTTGAATTACTTTTCTTAGGTGTACACACAAACAGCGCATGAAAACAGCCTTTAATCTTTATGTAACTCACCCATTTACAATTTATTAAGGCTTAAAGTAACATATTCTTTGAGTGACAGGCTGTCTAATATAGGCGTCACCACAGGCTCCTGAATGGTAGTCTGCTAACCAGTGGGTGATGTCATGGTGACTATATCCATTGTTCTTAAGGTCTATCGTAAAGACGAAGGGTGGAAGTTCAGCAGGTAACTAAAATCGTAAGGAATCATCTTTCAGCCTTCACCTTTAGATCCTATAGAGCAAAAACATTGGTCATATTAATACTTTTGAATGGCAGCAGCCGATATTTTGTGCTAAACAGTATTATTAATACATTATTATTAATACACAGAATAATATAGTTATTAGAATGGGAAAGCCTATGATATCATATTTACATTTGAATATCACGTTTTTAGCTAAGTTGAAGCAGACTTGACTCATCTTGTTTTACCACTAGATATAAAAGCTGTAGGGCCTTCAACATAGTTCAAATACAACCAGCCATAAATCACTTCAGATTAAACACAGATATTGAGGCACCACTGCAGGAGACAGATGCCAGACATGTTTAAACCATGTGTAGACATACTCCTTGTATAATTTCATCTCAGTAGAATAGCCATGTTGGGTGGGTGTCCAGTCTATGTGTTGTAATTCTGTGCTGCAGGGCTCGCTGGCTGCGTTGAGAGAGGCCTCATCCTCATCCACCATTCTTCCTCTGGTCCTCTCCACACTGCATCTGTTGATTCCCTCTCTCATCCTCCTCCCCTCTCCTCTCACTTGTCTCCCTCCCTCCTTTCTCATCTCCTTCCTCCTCATCCTCATCCTCTCCAGTCTATCTGTGTTATCTATCTATCTATGGTCTGCAGGAGAACACCACACACAGCATTGCT